GATTGTCTGTAAGAAGGGCGCTATTATCCCTAATTTACAGATTCAGAAACTAAGATTCAGAGAGCGTAATACATTGTCTAAGGTCACACAGCTACTCAGTGCCAGAGGTACAATTTCATTTGAACCTAAATGCGTCTAATTCTAAGATCATGTTCTTTTCACCTTACAGGACTGCCCCACTTATGTGTATAAACAGGGACGGAAAGCTTAAGCTAATAGGATTCATCTTTAATGGTGGAATTTTGGTGCTCTACCGGGGGTGGAGTAGGAGTTGGGGAGGAGGGAGGCACAGAGCCCCCCTCCCTCCTTCCCTCTGTGGTTCCCTAAGGAGTTGTGTACTCATCAGCTGGGCTGGGTGACATCTACCCCAGCCTTCTGGCTGTAGGCCGACTCATCCCACAGCCTCAGGTCTCTCCTAAGAGGCTTTATTTCTAGCTCTCTCTGACTCACCTTTGGTCCCAATGCCTTCCCTGCTTCCCCAGCCCTGTCTGCATTTGGGGAGAACTACCCTGATGTGCTCTCTGTCACCCGCTTGTGCCGGGATGGCAGCCCTACTCCTTCCCCGAGCAATGCTCCTTCTGCACAGGTGCACTCTTCAGGGCTACTCCTTCCAGCCCCTCTGCCCATGGCTTTTCTAGGTGGTGTACTTCACGGCCACGTTCCCGTATGTTGTGCTGGTGATCCTCCTCATCCGCGGAGTCACCCTGCCTGGAGCTGGAGCTGGGATCTGGTACTTCATCACACCCAAGTGGGAGAAACTCACAGATGCCACGGTGGGCTTATAATTTTATTTATAACCGGCCCGGGGGGGAGTGGTCCTCTGGGATGCTTGGGCAAAAAGGGTTAGACGTCCTCCCCCAGGGAATCCCAGTGTGTGCTTTTATAAGAGCCTGATGATCTTGGTATATTATGCACTCAGGAAATATTTAATGAGAAGTGGACAACTGAGGATTTTTAGATTCCTGGAATAGTTGTCCTACATCTGGGGTTATAGTAGAGGCCGAAAATGAATAATGAAATCCCCTTAATAGCTTTGGGCCCACTCACACCACTTATCTGTTACTAATTATAGAGTGTCAGAGCGTAGTTTTGCTAGTGGGAAAATAACAGCATTTAGTGTAAACCACAAGCGATTCTATTTTTAAAATATTTTTACCTGAACCTTTTAAAGGCTCAGACACGTCTGAATACTTTTATACACCCACACAGGGCCAGCACAAGCTGAACTTTCTCTTTGCATATTCTGTACAGGCACATCTAACTCTAAAATTTCCAACTCAAAAACTACAAATGAGGGGGTGATTGTTGAAGGGGAACTGACTTTTCTCACCTTAAAGAAAATTCTGCTTTTCCAGGGTGTGTTAAGAACGCATAGCTAGGATTGAGTTTGATTGCACGTAACAGAAAGTCTCCACTTAATGGCAGGTAGGACGTGACACTATAAAGTCTACAGCGGCATAGAGGTTGCTTTACTAAGATTGGGGCTACAGAGTTTCAGAAATTTAATAGTTGTAATCCACAGAAATGTCAGTTAAAAAGGTTTTGATTTTGCATCCGTTAATATATTTTGCTGTTGTAAATTATTATTTTCTGAGAGTGTACTGACCTAAAGGAAGGACTCTCCCTTCCGTTTAGCTTTACGGGAGAGAAAAGATGAGCATGGTATGTAGTGTAGTTTATTGAGTTCCTCACCTTTGATACAGGAAGTTAAAATCTCCCAGGTAATTTACTGTGCCTTTGGTTTCCAGCACAAGTGATTTATGTTCTCATTGATGTTGATGTCAGGAGTCATCTTGTCCCTGATGTTTCCCCTGGAAACATGATATGGCACTGGGTGTGTGAGACTCCCCTCCCCTGGGGCCAGTCTCCTTTATGGATCTTGAATCTCTTTCCCTTTTGCCTCTTAGGTATGGAAAGATGCTGCCACTCAGATTTTCTTCTCTTTATCTGCTGCATGGGGAGGCCTGATTACTCTCTCTTCTTACAACAAATTCCACAACAACTGCTACAGGTATGTAGAGGTGCTACAAGATCTGGGCATAGCTGGTGAGTGGGACAGAAGAATGGACTGAGTTATCAGACACCTGAGGCCACATCCTCACATTTCATCTTAGGGAGAGCTAGAGATTTGCCTCTGGCCTAGGACAAAACACATGCTAAGGCCTAGGCACTGTCTTTTGAAGGCCTAGATCCTCACTTACACACCTGGCTCTGATACATGGTGGAGGCTCAAGTGGCTATTTATAGGATGGAAGCAAGTTTCTCTGGAGGTCATGTGCAGCCAGCTGTGTTCTGTGACAGTCATTTGTGAGCTACCTAATCTGTGGATACAATGGACTGTGCCTTTAGATGGTCTTCCCTCTGTGTGGGGCTGTGACCTAATCTCTTCTTATAAAGACACCAGTCATATCAGTAACATTGGAACAGGGACCACTCTAATGACCTCATTTAGCTTAATTACCTCTTTAAAGACCCTATCTCCAAATATAGTCACGTTCTGAGATACTAGGGATTAGGATGACAAAATATGAATTTGGTAAGGGTGGGGGAGCAGTAGGAAGATATGATTCAGTTCGTAATGGCCTTGAGTAACAGACTATGGTATTTGAACTTCTTTGGTCACAACTGCTCATTAACCATTGACCCAAGTTAGTCTGAACACCATTAAAGAGTGAAGCATTGCTATCTTCTTTATTAGAAATGAGGCTGTGTGGTGTGGCAGAAATAACCCAGGCTGAGAGCTGGAAAGTCTAGATTCACATCCTGGCCCACACTATTAATTAGTCCATTACCTTCCCCTGGACCTCAATTTCCTCATCAGTAAACTAAGGGGTCAGTCAAGGTGGATCATTTGCTGCACACTTCTAGTCTTTGCATGGTACAGGCATCATCTCATTCTGTCCTGGCAACAGCCTATGACAGCCCCATTGCTGCCATTTCAAATCAGAGTGGAAAGGAAGTGGATTGCTCAAGGTCATGCCGCTAAAAGGCAGAAGAACAAAGATTTCAATGTAGCCCGGGGTTACAGTGTAACCCATCTAGCCGTGACCTCACATTTGAGAACAGGATGACTGAAGCTAAGCTGGGAAACCCTGGCTGTCTTACCAGCAGCAGGCTCTGCGATGAAGGTAGAGTTGCTGGGCTCTCCTCCCTCCCCTGCCCCTTTGTCCTTCTCAACCCTGTGTGTCCCAACTCCAGGCTACCCTCACATTTTAGGGTCATTTGACTTTCCCACTGCCTTCTCTTCCCTCACACATAGTTCCCGTCCTGGAGCCGACCAAGGCCCCATCTCCTCAATTTCTGTTCTGATGGACAGATTTACCCCTGCCCCTGGAATAATGTCTTAGTTTGTTCGTATTGCTCTAACGAAATGCCATAGACTGAGTAATATGTCTTTCTTTCTTTATACATTTTTTGCTTTTATTATTTTTAAATGACACATAGTAATTATGCATATCTATGGAGTACAGTGTGATATTTCAGTACAAGTATACAATGTGCAATGATCAAATCAGGGTAATTAGCGTATCCACTACCTCAAATAATTAGCATATCTACCACCTCAAACATTGATCATTTCTTTATATTGGGAACATTGAAAATTCATTCTTCTAGCTGTTTGAAAACATATAATAAATTGTTGTTAATATAGTCATTTTATAGTGCTATAGGATGATTTTTTTTTTTTAAGATGGAGTTTTGCTCTTGTTGCCCAGGCTGGAGTGCAATGACCAATCTCGGCTCACTGCAACATCCATCTCCCAGGTTCAAGCGATTCTCCTGCCTCAGCCTCCCAAGTAGCTGTGATTACAGGCATGTGCCACCACGCCCCACTAATTTTTTTTTTTGTGTGTATGTGTGTGTATTTAGTAGAGACGGGGTTTCACTATGTTGGTTAAGCTGATCTCAAACTCCTGACCTCAGGTGATCCACCTGCCTTGGCCTTCCAAAGTGCTGGGATTATAGGCGTGAGCCACCGTGGGATGGTTGTTAATATAGTCATCCTACAGTGCTGTAGAGCACTATAATTTATTTCTCCTATCTACCTATATTTTTGTATCTTTAACTGACTTTTGGCTATAAACAACAGACATTTATTGCTCACAGTTCTGGAGGCTGGGAAGTCCAAGTTCAAGGTGCCAGAATATTCAGTGTCTGGAGGGCTGCTCTCTGTTTCAAAGATGGCACCTTGTTGCTGTGTCCTCATATGGTGGAAGAGGCAGACACATTCCCTTCGGCCTGTTTTATGAGGGCACTAATCCTATGAGTTGGCTCTGCCTTCCTGACTTAATCACTTTTCTAAAGCCCCACCTCTTAATACTATCAAATTGTGGATTAAGTTTCAGCCAATGAATTTGGGATGGGAGGGTTCAGACCATAGCAGATGAGTTGAGACCCTTTATATAGAATGTGGAGTCAGAGCTTTGGCCCAGAGGCCCTGAATCAGGGCTATTAGGGGATATCTTTTGAGCCTTTTGGTGCTTTTTAAATGAGTCCAAGGGAGCCTGTGGTTAGGACATGAACATACATATATATGAAACACATGTGCAAGCAAACACGTGGGCACACATTTATGTGTCCTTCCCCTTGTCCCTTTCCACTCACCAAGCACATCTAATGGAAAACTCTGGTCTCTTCTTTCCAGGGACACTCTAATTGTAACCTGCACCAACAGTGCCACGAGCATCTTTGCCGGCTTCGTCATCTTCTCCGTTATTGGCTTTATGGCCAATGAACGCAAAGTCAACATTGAGAATGTGGCAGACCAAGGTACAGGACAGTTGTTACCCTGCTGTTGCAGGGCGGGTCCCAGGCCCATGTCACAAGCTCCTAATTTATACTATGCTGGGAAGTTGGCCTTCTGGAACAGGATAGAGGGTGGAGGAGCCCAGGTCCTTCTGTACAGTGGGACTGAGGAAGGCTCAAGTAGGAAGCCCACTACAGAGTCAGAACTGGCTTGTCTCTGACTAGAGGGATTGCTTTAAAAGCCCTCTTTCCTTCTTGTCTCCTCCCCTTCCTCTTACCTTGCCCCTCTTAATTTAGCTCCAGCCTATAGAAGTGAGGGTTGTACCTGTTAGGTATGAGTAGTGAATTTATTAGGCAAACCATTGCCTCAGGAGCTGATGTGGGCACAGGCTGCTACAGGATGACATTCCTTGCAGAGGGCCCTGTCGAAACCAAGGCTTAGTGAGAGAACTGACTTCAGAGGACCATTTTCCTTACAAAGCACTTTTCTGATTGTTAGGTCAAATGTGCTTTCAGGGCCTTCTGCTTAGTTAGCAATGCAGACCTGCAATTTTTTTCCCCAGTGGGTAGAAAGGTTGGATCGTGCTGGGTGGGTGGAGAGGCATATGGAATAAATGTTTACTCTCTATCCAAATGATCTTTTTATTAATGGCTAACATTTGTATGATGTTTTCAAGTTTACAAAGAGCTTTCATTTTTATTTCATTTAATCCATATTACTAGGACAGCATTTTGCAGAGAGAGCGTTCAAGATTTTAGTTTAACTCTTCATTTTCACCCAGCCTGGATCCACAAAGGATTTGGATATTTAGTAGGTTTCAGTGATCAAGGGATTTCACTGTGTTTATTGTTTACCATTATGATCTCATTCTCAATTCAGACATTTATGGGATGCCTAGAGTGTTGGTCCTGTGCCTCATGCTGTGGGGCATGACTATGGCCCTGGACAACCAAGGGATGTACCTGTGAGAGGCTTGTCTGGGCAGTTATCTTCCTTCAAGCAGCTGATTGCCATTCTCAGATAATGTTTCAGATGTGGTGAGAGAACTAAGCCCTGGAAATGTCACCTTTTTGGATACTAAGATTTCTTCTGGTTCCCTAAGGATAATTCATTACTGCGCCAGTTCATGCTGATAGTACACCCAGGGCCTCAAAGAGTTAAAGAGCCAGCACTTTCCAGGGGTGCAATTATCTCTCCCTGGAGAGGCTGTGAAACCCTGAGGGGTGTTTGGTTCTGCAGCAATGCACTAAATTAGAGGGGCCCCAGGAGATAAGCAATGGCTCTCCCTGGTTGAGAATTCTCAGATACCCTGGGAGGCAGGGAGGGAAAGTGAGAGGATAAACAGGTTTTGTACTTAGAGGTACTGGAGTCACTTCCAGCTGTCCTGTAACCTCATTTCCTCCTAGCGGAGTGGTTGGAGCAGATAGGTTCTGTCCCATTTTCTAGAAGATCTTAGGCATTTTACTTTCTGTGACATTACTGAGTTCTTTTGGAACCAGTGGCCAACCTGCTAGAGACTATGAATCCTGAGATGTGGGCCAGGTTAGTAAACGATTCTGAACTCTTTTCTGCTCCAGGAAAGGGATTTCTGGGGAGATATTGCAAAACCTCAAATAGAATGTTGTTTATCTGGTATGTAAAATGCAGCCAACGAATTGCCCATGTTTTCCTCTGAAATTTCTCCTTGCCAGTGTTTTTTCACTTCCTTTGATTTGAACAAGGATAAGGGCACTTCTAACAGGTTCTAACCTGTTGTGTTAATACTTGTCTCTGGCACAGGGACAGTGGGCCTCATCTCCCACGGGAGAGGGTCCATGAGATCTTCTCCCAGACCCACTGGGGAAGCTTTCCTGCTCATCTGAACCGGCATGTATTTTTATATGTGCTTTACAGGCTTGTCTTACTTGCCTCGATATGATGGAGGCCCTGCGGAATATAGGACAGAGATTTGGGGTCAGGTCTGCATTAAACCCGAGCCCCATTTCATCCTTGCTGGGCAACACTGGCATATAGACATTCAGGCCATTTTTGCTGACCCAACTTTGGTAACTAGGTTTTGACCTTTAGTCAAATAGAGGTTCTCCTGAATGACCTAACACTATTCGATTTAGTTTATCACTCCCTTCTAAAAGAGGCATTTCTACCAAAATGATCATCCGAAATCTTGGTCTTATCAAAATTTTGAGGGGCTGAGGATGGGTAGGATTGGTAAAGAGACCAGGCTGTCTTTTGCTTTTGTGATAGACATAGGGAAGGGGGCATGTTCTTCTTGGGGATCTGCTCTAGAAAAGCAGATTCCAGGGAAGTTAGGCCTTCAGAGCCATCTCCCCACCATATGCATTGCCACCTATGGAGCGGTGACTCATGTTCAGAATCTATCCTGAAGCCAAACAAAGATGCTTATCCAGCAGCAGAAAAACTCAGACCAGAGTAGATAAGCAGAAATGTGCATATTTATTTAGCATTCCCAGGTGTAGGTAACTCTCAGCTAAACAGAGCACTAGAAATACTACCTTGGTTCCCTTGCCCCTTAATAGTTCAGATACCTTACTGATCAAAATGAGCATTCTCAAATGGCACTGACGCCCCACTTCCATGCAGCCATCTGCCTATCACCTGTATCCCAATCCTTCTGCCCACAGGCACAGAAGTCCAGCTGGCATATCCTCAGAGAGCTCATTCAATTTGTAATAGTTATCACAGCAGAGTGGCTACCCAAGCTGTGCTATGGGCCTTGATGCATTGCATTGACCAGAGCCCCTTGCTGTGTCTTTAGTGGCACTCTAGGATAAAGGAGGCTGTCATGGTAGGATCTCTGGGGACTCTGCTCAAGTTACTGAAATGTGGAGCCCCTTTGATCCCCTTTCACAAGACCAATAATAGTCTATGTTTTCTGAGTTCCTAGTATGTCCAGGCATTGTTCTAAGCTTTTTACTTGTGTTGATGCATTTAATTCCCACAGAAGCTCTATAAAGGTAGGTACTATTACTATTTCCATTGTGTGGATAAAGAAACTAAAATTTGTCTAGAAAGAACAAGTGACTCCCCTAAGTCCTCTGCCAGTAAGAGGTACAGCCAGTTTTTTTGTTTTTGTTCTTTTTTGAGATGGAGTCTTGCTCCGTCACCCAGGCTGGAGTGCACTGGTGCCATCTTGGCTCACTGAACAACTTCCGCCTCCCCTGTTCACACCATTCTCCTGCCTCAGCCTCCTGAGTAGCTGGGACTACAGGCGCCTGTCACCATGCCCGGTTAAATTTTGTATTTTTAGTAGAGACTGGGTTTCACTATATTGGCCAGGCTGGTCTTGAACTCCTGACCTTGTGATCCGCCTGCCTTGGCCTCCCAAAGTGTCAGGATTATAGGCGTGAGCCACTGCACCCCGCCACCGGTTTTTTAATCCATGAGGAAGAGAGCCTGTACTCCAGTCACTGGGCTCTACTGCCACCTAGTGGGAGAGGAGAGAGGCAGAACCTGGCCTCCATCAGACGGGCCATATACTTTTTAACATCTAATGATGTTATTCCCTAGATGACTCTGCTCACCATCAGCCTTGGGTAAGTGGAGTCTGCTGTAATTTAGCTTGCAAATTCCGCCTTCACCTGGGTGCTTTAGGGAGGCAGCTGAAATTGGAAGGCATGGCTGAATATTTGAAATCACTTCCTTTCCTTAAAAAAGCTGTAAAGCCCAAAGCGTGGAATCCTGTTAAAGTAAGCGCTTAGGACTCTGTAGTGGGCCATTCAAGACCTTTTGTCGGCTTTAATGGGCATGGACTGTCGTGAGAGCATAAACTGACTTTCTTTGTTGTTCTGGCATTTGGACTATTTTGAGACTTTAGTTTAATACAGGATTTTCTTTTATGGTTCACCATAGGGAGCCTTCAGAGACTGGCTCTACAGTCTGTTATAAATGCATAAGTGGGAATTCTCAGGCATTTGAGGCTTTTATATTTTAAATACACCAAGGCCTGGCCAACATCAGGAAGCTAACAACCTGCAGATTCAGTTTTAAAAAAAGTGTGTTATGCATTACTTATAAACCATTCTAGGTGGCTGGGACTTCCTGGACTGGGGATGGTGTGGTAGCCTGATATCCCGGGTGCCACCTTCATTTCTCTGCGCCATTATTCTTACGTTTCTACTTACAGGAAATTCACACTGTGTGTCTTTACCCCCTTTGGTTACAGTAATCTTCCCAGTGGAGGACGTGACACGGGAAATGACTGGCAGTTTTATTATGATTAGAAAGAAAACTGGTGCTCAGATCCCCACCAAGCCACATAAGTGTCTAGAGTAAACCTGAATCAGAACCGCTAACTTCCAAGTTCATAGTCCACTCATAGTAGAAGATACTAATCTGTGGGTGTTGATGATGTAGGGGGTACTGGGCTCAGTGTTTTATCTGCGTTTTCTCATTTGTTAATTGTAACCACCTTGTGAGGTCCTATTTTTATCCCCATTTTACAGATGGACAAAATTGAGGCTTACAGAAATTAAATAGTATGTCTAGGGTTGCACAGATGGTAAGTCATGGAATATGGATTTGGACCGGATCTGACCCTTAGAGACTGAACCCTCTTAATCCTTACATGATGTTTCATGTACCGCCCCACCAACCCAACTAACTACTAGGACTGGCACCATTTATACCAATAGTGCAAGATCCTGAAAGTGTTAGATTCATATTTTATGTGAATGTTTTCTCCTGGAGGACTAATTAGGAGGAAGGGTAGTTAAAGGAAGAAATACTAATGCATTTCTTCCTAGACTTAATACTTAGGTGATGGGCTGATCCGTGCAGCACACCACCATGGCACATGTTTACCTGTGTAACAAACCTGCACGTCCTGCACACGCACCCCAAAACTTCATAAAATAATTAAAGGAAGAAATAATGTCATTCTGGTCATTTTCCAACTTTTAGAGCAGGGATTCTCAAACCTCAGCACTACTGACATTTGAGACAGGATAATTCTTTGTTGGCAAGAAGCTCTCTTGTGCACTGCAAGATGCTTAGCAGCATCCCTTGCCTCCACCCGCTAGATGCCAGTAGTTATCCTACCCCTACCCCCAGCTCACCCCTGAGAATAAAAAATGCCTGCAGACATTGCCAAATATCCCCTGGGGTGCAAAATCACTGCTGGTTGAGTACTACTGCTCTAACGGGTAATTACATTTTCCCTTAATTCATCCAATACGAAGATGGAGTTTCTCATCCTATGTACATGGCACACAACCTAGCTGTGGAGTCCAATAGAGTTGCCTCTGAGTCTCTGCTTAGACACTATTTTTAGGCCTCTCCTGTGAGTTCTCCTAGCTGTTGACCTAATTCCCTTGGTCTTTTTCTTCAAGAAGCCTATGGTCTAATTGAGGAAATGGATAGAGATGAGTGAAAAATAACAAACAGTGGAAGCAGCATATAAGAAGTAATAAATGAGGATCTCAGCAGAGAGAAGGCCCTCTGGGCTCCAGGAAGAGCGGCCTTGAGTAGGGCCTGCCTGCAATCATCTGTCTCGTTCCTTCCAGGGCCAGGCATTGCATTTGTGGTTTACCCGGAAGCCTTAACCAGGCTGCCTCTCTCTCCGTTCTGGGCCATCATCTTTTTCCTGATGCTCCTCACTCTTGGACTTGACACTATGGTGAGCTCCTTTGCCATCAGTCTCTATCCCAGACTCCTCTTGAAGACTCCCCCTCTTCTGGGTCCTGGGTTCACCCTTCAGGAGAGCGGTAGGCTTAGGGGTGTCTGAATGCTTCTCCCGAGAGATCTGGAGATGTTGAAGTGCCTGCGTAGGGCTCAGGATCACCTTGTATTTTGGGTACTCACGTAATGGTGCAAGAGAGTCGTCCTCTCTCTTTCCTTCTCCCTCTGTTCTATGTGGCAATTTTTAGTCTGTGTGCTTCCTGCCTTCGTGTCATTTTGCCAAAGCAAATTCTGTAGGGCTGGATGAGAAATAATGTGAAGTCAATTTTAGGGGAATTGCTGTGGGGCTGAGACAACCACAGATCACGCTGACAGGTGCTCAGAGTTTAGTCCTTGGGTGCAAAGAGGGTTTTTCCTCAAGTAGAAGAGCAAATGCAAGGTAAACTGGAGGACAGGAATTTACATCTCATGAATACAAAATGAAACTTAAAATGTCCTAATGGGTGAATATGAATGCAAGTCTCTGGGGGTTGGAAGTACAATTTTTAAAGCTCACATCCTGCTTGGGTTCTCTTGGTTGCCCTTGTGGGTTGGACCCCAAGGAGGCTTTTTAGACCCATTGAGGGAATGCCATCCTAAAAACCAAACCTAACACAAATACAGCTTTCCTGGATGGGACATGCAAAGGGCTTGGGGGTACCTCCTGGGTGGTACAATTTGACTCAGATGTTCATTTCCTGACACGGTTTCAGTTTGCCACCATCGAGACCATAGTGACCTCCATCTCAGACGAGTTCCCCAAGTACCTGCGCACACACAAGCCAGTGTTTACTCTGGGCTGCTGCATTTGTTTCTTCATCATGGGTTTTCCAATGATCACTCAGGTAAGCTGCCTCCTGGGCACAGGCTTGCGGTGGGGATAGGTGGGTGGGGGAGCCAATGGCTATCTGTCCTTCAACGCTTAGCAGCTCTCAGACCTTATAATCAAAGGCAAATCACTGCCATTTCCATGTAGATGGCACCAGTTCATTAGGGATTCTGACTGTAGAGGGAAATATGTCATCTTGGCTACCAGTGATGCTACTAGTATCTCATAATTGAGATGTAGCCTTATTGAGCCAACAAGGCAGGTGTGTCCTACTTTAAGAAAATAGAATACGTGGCTTGGTGCAGTGGTGCATGTCTCTATTCCCAGCTACTTGGGAGGCTGAGGCAGAAGGATTGCTTGAGGCCAGGAGTTCAAGGTTGCAGTGTGCTCTGATTGCATCTGTGAACAACCACTATACTCCTGCCCGGGCAACATTGTGGGACCCCGCCTCTAAAAAAGTAAATAAAAAATTAGGAAAAAGAAAACAGAATACATAAAAATCTTTATTTACCAACCAGGTACATTTTCTGATGATTACTGTCATGTATGAGTCAACAGGCACTTCAGTTTCTTCTAGTCCTGAGTGTCTTGGTAAATTGTGTTAACTCACTCAGTATATATATTGCCTTTGTTGTCTCTGTGGCCTTGAGCAATCTAACTACCAGGGCTTTAATTTCTTCCTCTGTAAAATAATGGATTGGAATGTGAAGGTCTCTGCACCTTATTTATTGTTGGGAGACTTAAAGAGTGAGGTAGAGATTCATGGGGATGTGTGAGAAATACCCAGAGACACCTAAAGGTCATCGGAGGGTCAATTGAATGCAGATACATAGGTGGATATGATCAATTGCTTAAAGCAAAAATAAAGCAGTCTGGCTGCTTTCACATATACTTCTTCAGAGGTTGACCTTTGCCTTCCAAGAATAAGATGTTAAATCGCTTTTTTTGGTGCTTGTTATATTGATTAGCTCGGAGCCTGTTGAGGAACTGCTTTGCTGACACAGCAAGGCCTCCAGCTTACATGCTGGACCAGGTGTAGGTTACTGCTGTTGAACGGAGGGGAGATACATGGACTCCTGTTTGCACCTGACTCTTCTTAGGATTGAGACAACTGGCTGTAAAACGTGGGAAGAGATAGCCTGGCTCCAGGACGTATTTGATATTGGTTATTTCTCTCTCCTGTTAGGGTGGAATTTACATGTTTCAGCTTGTGGACACCTATGCTGCCTCCTATGCCCTTGTCATCATTGCCATTTTTGAGCTCGTGGGGATCTCTTATGTGTATGGTAAGGAAATCACTGTGCCTGTTGCTGAAGTAGAGCTTGAGTGTCGGTAAGGCATTCATGGCAAGCAGATTTTCCATACTTAATAAGACAATACAAGGCTTAAATTGCAACTATTTAGGAAACCTAAGAGAGCTGCACCTGTTTCCAAACTTGCCTCAAGACCACTGTGATCCAAATTTAATAGGGAAACAAGGGGTAGCTGAAGATGAAACTTAAAAATCTTTGTATCAGAAATTCCTAGGACTCAGATACCCCTTTGGGTGTGGTCTGGCATGTGAACAGTTAATTGAACAATGGCCAGATCAGGGAGAAGGAGGCTACTTTGCAGGCATGAAATTATTTCCTGATCTTCAGTGCCCATGCAGCTTGAATTGAGGGATAACTTTGTAGCTGGTCCCTGGGTACTATAGTGAGAAGAGACCACTCAGCTCACAGATCCTTAGGAAACTTTATTAGCATCATAGGCGCCTGTGATGCAATATCTCAATCTCAGATTTTTCCAGGAATACACTTCCAGTTGTCTTACAGTTTATCCTTCTTACTATCACAATAGCAACCAGCTCGCCATATCAGTGGGGCCATTATCAAGAACAGAAATGGTGAGCTTGGCCGGGCGCGGTGGCTCAAGCCTGTAATCCCAGCACTTTGGGAGGCCGAGACGGGCGGATCACGAGGTCAGGAGATCGAGACCATCCTGCTAACACGGTGAAACCCTGTCTCCTACTAAAAAATACAAAGAAACTATCCAGCGAGGTGGCGGAGCCTGTAGTCCCCAGCTACTCCGGAGAGGCTGAGGCAGGAGAATGGCGTAAACCATGGGGAGCGGGAGCTTGCGCAGTGAGCTAGATCCACCCTGCACTCCCAGCTGGGCCCAGAGCGAGACGCCGTCTCAAAAAAAAAAAAAAGAAGAACATGGTGAGCTATCAGATGTCCATCTTTGCCCTTTGTGTGGAAGTGTTGTCCTTGGGTTTCATAGGGTATCTCCTGGTCCCTTGTATTGGCACTGTCAGTTAAAGAAAGTCCTATTTTGATTCAAGGCCCTACTGACTTCTTTCTGCTTGGAAAGCCTGCTCAGAACTGTCCGAGGCTCACATATATATTATATAATATATATATAATATTAACACTAATAATATATATATAGAGAGAGAGAGAGAGAGAGAGAGAGAGAGAGTGCCACCATAGCAAATATCTGGAAGCTGAACATTTCCAGTTCAGATTATCTAACTGTACTTCAGAGCTCAAAAGAGACAGCAACATATTCTAAGCCAAAAGGAAGTAAAAGATATTATTTGGAATGCAGGATATGCTCGAGGGACAAATGTACCATCTGGAGCCCAAAGGAAGAGGGATCTAGGCCAGAGGGGTCTGCAGAGCTCTGCAGGTATCCCCGTTACGAGCATCTTATTTTTAAAGTAATTGTTAGCCTCCACCCAACACGTGCTTAACAGCGTGTTGCTTTTCTGGAAAGCTCATTAAAATAAAGGGGGTGGAGTGGGAATCCAGATGGAAAAAAGAAACCTCCTGTGTAAACATCCTGGTACTCACTCCAGAAACAGGATGATACTTGCAGTCAGTTTTGGACATTGGTAGAAGGGGAATTTATCTCAGACTAGAGACTACATCCCCACTGCAGGGAGAGTTTAGTTCCTGGCAAGAGAGGTGCGCAGGCATGCCAGCTGTCCTGATGAGATCAGAGACCAAGCTGCCAGCACTTTTGGCTGATAAGACAGCCTGGATCCTGCAGTGATGGTGTGATTGAAGACCTGCTGTCAGAGTTAGGGTGAGGCTTCAAAGTGCTTTCTAGCTGAGCAGAGAGTGGTAGAAACCCAGTGAAATCCACCACAGGCAATCATAACTTTCTGCCCAGAAACTAAAGACCTTGCCAGGAGAGGCAAGAAGAAGCCTCCAAGGTCCTTCTTTGGCAACTCAGCCCCTTATGGGTCCACATGTAAGCTGAGGTCACCAGATGATCAGTTGGCAAAGTCAGGAAAGCTCTTTATTTGCAGCACTGGCCCAAGTGCAAGTAACTATCTCATTTCCATCTTCTGTTATCTATACCCTAACTGCTGATTGCCACAAAGGGCACATCTGCACAGCTCTTCCCTATAAAACAGGGCTGTTCAGGATGGTTTAAAACATCATTAAAATAGGAACCTCTTAATATTTCTGTTTTTTGGAATCAAATAGCTTGTCCCCCACCCCCATACAAATCTAGTCATAGGTTTCTTAGTTCTGAAGGAAAAAATAAATCCTGAGTGCTTTAGTCCCTGGGCTATGTTAATTTTCCTTGGGACCACCCAGGGAATCCCCTGGTTTCTAAGTAAGAGTGCTGGTGTTGGGTTTGCCTCCAGAATCAGGTTGCCTCTGTGCTGGGCTCAGGTTGAACCTGACTTCTGCAATGTCAGATGTGTCCGTACGCCTCTGATTAGGATCTGGATGGAATTCTAAGAAGTGAATCTCAGGAAGAAAAATAAGCTAACATGACTGTTTGAGGTTAAAAAAAAAAACAAAAACCTGCACAAATCTGTAATTTATATCCCAGAAGACAGTGTATTCTTTATTGAGATCATGAGGCCTCAAACCAGTGCAGAGTTCATTTAAAATAGTAGAACATAAACCTGTGAAGGGTTAAAATGAACCTGACTCACCTGGTGTACTACCTTCCTAGCCAGAATTTTAAAAAGCCAGTGAATTGAAGAGATTTGTGTTTTCTTCTTGTTTCTAATAATCTCTAGATTCTAGAGGATATCATCCAAACGTTTGAAATATGGCAGGTACAATTTTCAAGTTTTATTAGATTGAAACAGTTGTTTGACGTTCTCAAGTCAACATGCCTCAATGGCCAATAGCTGGCTTCGAGGTATCCAGGTTTAAAGGTAAAACTCCCTGAGTTTTGTGTAGAAGTGGTCCCTTCAGCAGACTTTTATCTAAGTAGAGTCATTTTGAAAAAATGATTTGCATTTTTCTGGAGCCAGTACAGTGGTCTTTTGGCTGGAGGAACAATGTGATTGAACAGCCACCACCTGTGCTCACAGAGGAACCACACCTGGCCACCCAGGAGGGCAAGCAGCCCCTATGAACAATATCCAGACCAAGGGCATGGGTGTGGTTTAGAGAGGCAAAAGCCACAAAGGTGCATGGGGGAAAGTGACTGACTGGTTGAAGCAAGTCCTTGACATCTCAGTTCAGGATCTTTTGATTGTATGCAGTTTGTCATGGACTGATTTCTGAGCCTCATATCTGTTTGAGTCTAAAATAATAGCCACAGGTTCACCACCTTTTTGTTTCCCCTGCTGTTTTTCTACTAATTCAGACTCATTTTTGAGAAGCAGCTGCTCAGAGCCCTTTTGGGGCCTGACTACTTGCCCTCTTACCCCTCCAGGCTCGAGGTCATGCAGCAGGCAAGTCCCTCTTGCCCATGCTCAAGGCTCCATGAACAATTCCTTTATCATGAGTTAGGCCTTGAAGGCAAGATGGATGTGGATTAGGGGAAAGGAGAAAGCAGGCAGAGGAAGCCATATAAACAGAGGCCTAAGATGAAAATAGCTGTTGACTCAGTGAAGGACTCAGCTGGGGACTTGAATGTGGGCCAAGGCCTGGGTGTCGTGAGCGAGGCAGAGGCTGGAGGAACTGGAGAGCTTGACTCGGGAATGGGCACGGTGCAGGAGGGTTGCATAAGGGGGGAAATGACTTTCCAGGCTCCAAACTGGCCCTGGAACCCAAGCCTTTTCACTCTTGGTCCCAGGACTGCTCCTCTTCATTAAGTTGTCTCTTGCTGAAAACTGAGCACCCATGATCCACCCCTTCCTACAACCTGGGGTCCAGATCTTTATTCTCTCTTGGGGGGCTTGGGCACTTCTACCATGACACCCTCCTCTTATAGGAGGCTGCTTATGTGTATTCCTTAGGTCTAACCTTGAGCCCTATCATAACAGTGTCCCCAGTCAAGCCACATGCCACCATCTCTTGGGGATGGTTTCATGAAGGGGAAAAACATGGCAACAGGATTGATGCTAATAATAGAAATTTCTAGAATCTCTCTCTCTTTTTTTTTTTTTTGTTTTTAGAAAAAGAACTGAGGCCTGCTGTTGGTGCTTTATATATATTTTTCAGGGCCTCAGCTTTGACTTCTATTTATTTTATTCTCTCCCCTCACTTATGCTCAGAGGGCCTAATGTTCAGAGGCCACTCATTTGAAGGTGTGTAATAAAAACTAAAGGAGACTAACAAATCCAAAGGTGATCAGGTCAGCTGCTCAAAGCATGCAGTTCTCACCTGTAGACCCAAGAAAGCAACCTGGAACGTCCTTGCATCATGGATTGACCTCTCTGGAAAAGCCTTAAGAGCTCATTCGGCTCAGTCTCCCCAATGAACAACAGCTTGGGCAGGGAGACTGTTTCACCTAAGGTCACACAGTGAGTCAGTAGCAGAACTGGGTATCAACTCTTGGACCTTAACTCCCAGTCCAGTGCTCTTTCCACTGTACCATGTTCGTGACTGTCCGCTGTCAGACTTGCCTTAAAGTAAAGTGGGAAGCTCAGCTGCAACCTAAGGCATTTTAGAGTGAATTGGGAAAAGGTGCCTTGGATGAGTCCTCATACTGTTCCCAGCACAGGCTTGGCGGCCCTCCATGATGACTGTTGTCAGGGGGCCTGGAGACTCGCTGTCCTGAGGGGTGGCTGACTTCCTCAATCTGAGCTTGGTAGGAAGTAAAAGCAAATGTTAGGAGCGGAGGGCTGTGAAGGGTCTCAGGATCCATTATTTTGATAGTGGTGTTCAGAGTGGAGTTTTTTGGGTTAATTTTAAGATTAAAGTATAATGTACATACATGATATATTTTTCATTTATATATTTTTATTAGATATTGACAAATTATAATTGTATATATTTACTGGGTACAAAAGTGATGCTATGTGTTATACAATGTGGAACGATTGAATCAAGCTAATTGACATATCTATCACCTCAAATACTTACAATTTATTCCTCCTGTCTAACTGAAACACTGTATCCTTGACCAAGATCCACCCATTTTCCCCATTCCCCAACCTCTGGTTACTACCATTCTGCTGTTTCCTTCTATGTGTTCAATTCTTTCTTTTTAGATTCCACACATAAGCGAGAACATGCAGTGTTTGTCTTTCTGTGCCTAGCGTATTTTACTTTGCATAATGTCCTCCAGGTTCATCCATGTTATCACTCATGACATCATTTCCTCTCTTTCAAAAGGCTGAATGGTACACCATTGTGTATGTACACCACCTCTTTTTTATCCATTCATCATCAGTTGATGTACGCTTACGTTGATTCCATTGATGCTGCAATACACATGAGAATGCAGGTATCTTTTGGACATACTGATGTCAAATCCTTTGGATATACACCCAGTAGCTGGATTGCTGGATCATATGGTAATGCGATTTTTAGTTTTCGGAGGAATGTCCACAATGTTTTCCATAGTGGCTGTACTAATTTACATTCCTACCAACAGTGTACTAGGGTTCCTTTTTCTCTACAAGAGTATGTATCTTGAGTGTACAGCTCAATGAATTTTCACTCCAGTGTAACCAGCACCCAAATCAAGATAAAGAACAGCAGGGCCATTCTTTTTCTTTTTCTTTCTTTCTTTTTTTTTTTTTTGAGACAGAGTTTCGCTCTGGTTGCCCAGGCTGGAGTGCAGTGGTGCGATCTTGGCTCACTGCAACCTCTGCCTCCCGAGTTCAAATGGTTCTCCTGCCTTGGGCTCCCAAGTAGCTGGGATTACAGGCATGCGCCACCATACCCAGCTAATTTTTTGTATTTTTAGTAGAGATGGGTTATCACCAAGTTGGCCAGGCTGGTCTTGAACTCCTGGCCTCAAGTGATCCACCCACCTTGGCCTCCCAGAGTGCTGGAATTACAGGCTAGAGCCACCATGCCTGGCCCAGCGGGGCCATTTTTTAAGGGTCTGAATTGAACTATTCCATTCTGCAGAAGGAAAACTCCAGTCACTTTTCTAGCCCAGCAAGACACTGTCTTCTCACATCACATTTATCCTTCCCCACTTCCAAGTAGCAGAGAGCAGGCATTGAAAATACAGGACCAGGAAGGATAAGTGGGGACTCAGATGGGGGTGGTGGGGGGCACTGATCAGATGAGGGCAGATGAGGTGGTGGACAGGGAGGTGATGGCAGAAGGGGGAGAGGTGGCCAGTGAAGGCAGGAAGAGGAGCACCCAGAGACTGAATTCACCTGCTCTCATGGAGCTCAGGGCAAAAGACCCAGACATCTGAGGAGGCTGGGAAATCCTGAGAACAGGAGGAGCAAGGGACCAAGGTCTAGAAAGAAGGCCTGACAATGTGCAAGGAGTATTCTTGATGGGAGGAGTTGTTGGTAAGTCTCTCTTGACCTGCAGGTACCCACTTTTCATGAAAATGATGGAGGCTGAAGGAATGATGAGTTTTTAAGCTGAGGCCATACTGAAGTCAGAGTTGCTGACTATGAAGGAGCTTGAACTTGGAGACTGTACAGGTCCCTTCAACATCTCGCTCCCACAGTTCAGGGAAGGCCATACTTCTGATGAGTTTGGGAAAGAATGCAAGAAACTGCCCAATTCTAAAATATTTCTCAACGCCTTTTTCTTTTGAGGAGTGGTTTTAAAAACCTTCCTAAACCAAGAGGGAGCAGGGATGGCAATTGTCTAGGGCCATGAGAGTAACCATCTCCTCTGTTTTTACTTTAGTGAGGTTGATGAATGACCAAGAAGACAGCAGTCCTTTGAGTTCCAACAAAGTGGGTGAAGGACACTTGGAATTTACGTTGGGTTTTGTGTGCTATTACCATCTTGCATGGCGCAAAGATAAATGACTCATTGGAATAGGGTCCTTGGGAGGGTAGAAGATAAAAGCCAGTGTGCAGTGATTTTATCTCTAAATTCCAAGGTTTTCAGAATATACTCTGCTTATTGACCACAATCTTCACCGATCTTGCCAGAGTTGTCACCAAGCACCTCAGAAAACAGCCGCATGTGTGAGATGTCAGCTTGTGACAACGCTGATAGCCTGGGCCAGGCTGGAACTGAGCTTTTTAGATGTTACCGTGGGCTGACATTTTTGAACCTCACCACAGAGCATATTTAATATCTGTTTAAGTGTCCAATTTGCCTTAATCTTCCTGGCAGCGTGTCATTTGTCTGACGGTTCCCTGCATAATAGGGGTCATGTTGATACCAGGCTGGGGCCAGCCCTAGCCAATGGTGCTTGAGTGAGGGGCTCTAGTGCCTGCCCTGCCCCCATCTCGCCCTCCTGCTACTGTGCCTTATACCTGTTTTCTGCTTGTCTATTTGCAGGCTTGCAAAGATTCTGTGAGGATATAGAGATGATGATCGGATTCCAGCCCAACATCTTCTGGAAAGTCTGCTGGGCATTTGTAACCCCAACCATTTTAACTGTAAGGATTTTGCATGTTTTCTTGTGCAGACAGCACCTTGCATACATATGTGGTGTTTTACGTTTGAGCAGTGTGTGCCTGCGTGTGAGCCTGGGAGCTGGTGTGTTGGGTGGTGGTCTTGTCTTTCAAATGAGAAGACTGAAGTTCAGAGAGTTTAAAAGACTTGCCTAAAGGTGCCTAGCAGGTCAGGTGCAGAGCTGGGACTCATGCACAGGTCTTTGGAGCACCCCTATGGCACATTTCCCATCATATCAGTCTGCTTTATGTACTAATAATGGATTACAATCACAGCCACGTTTTCCACGTGATAACCACGTGGTAGGCTTTGTTCACAGTGCTTCCTATGTATAGCCTCATCTCTCCCTCACAGCAGCTCTTCAAGGGTGGCATTATAATTATCTCCACTTTACAGTTGAGGAAACGGAAGCCCAGAGTTGATGTGACTTGCCTTGCATTGCACATCTAATAATTATCAACAGCTTGGATTTGAACTCAGGTGGTCTGACTCCAGAATTCATGCTTTTAATCATGGTTCAACACAGCTGCTCTACAACTAATATAGCATTAAACTTTTATGCTAATTTTTATTGCTTTTGAGAACTACCTTGTCATCTTCAAGTGGGATGATGACATTTTGGGATCATCTGACATTCACCTTCTTAAAGATCAGAGCCTTTCACGTTTCAGAAAATCTGCAGTTCAGGGACTTACATTCTCATTTTGTCACCTTTGTTATTGTGCTATAAGCTGCCAGCTTTGCCCCACTTTGCACTGCAAACACAGCAATTGACAGAGATCTTTTCCCCTCCTCCTCTCTAGCTCATATAGGTGTAATTTTGGGAACGCTGGAGGATGTCGGCTGTAATTCCCAATGAATCCAGTAGGTGACACTAGAAACCAGATTAAGACCTTTGTTTTACTATTACACATGGTACCAGTTTCGCTAAAGGAAGCAAGACAGGATGAAAGTATAATTGTAAAGGGAATGCATTTTTTGTCTTTCTTCTTTCCTTCCCTCCCTCTCTCACCTTCCTTCATAAAATGAGTTTTAATCAAAACATCTCAATTTTTTTTCTGAAAAGCTAGAAATGTAGACAGAAAAATCATTCAGCATTGATCTCCCTCTGCGTTGACAGGAATGTGATACTGAGGCTGACATCTGTACCCATATTTTAGAGTATGCAATTTGTCTGAAAAGTCCCACCAGATTTGGAGCATGACAGTTGAAAAGGATAGGCTTTCTGTCTCTTGAATTCAAGACTGGAATGTATATGAAGAACTCGAATTTACCTAACCGGTGGGAAGAGAACATCTGTGAACACACTCGCAGGCCTCCGGTGTTCCCATCTCCAGTGCGCTTGCCCTCTTCCCTGGATCCTACCACTCATGATTTATGCTTGGCTAAAATCAAAGTTAGAACCTGTTCTAGATTCTCTCTTGCTTTTCTTCCCACCCCAAACATACTGTGCTTCAGAGGATTTTATTATACCCTGGAACAACATTTCGCATAGTAACAATCAGCGCTGCTGTTTGTTGTGGTCTATGTGAGGCAGGCACTTTATAAGCATTGTTTCTAAAGCTTAGGACCACTTTGCCTGCTGGGTGATTCCTCTCTCATTTTACATATGTGTGCACTGAGGCTTGGAGAGGTCAAGGAACTTGCCCAAGGCCACTAGATTTGGAGGTGACAAAGCCAAGAATTGAATCCAGGGCTGTCTAAGCTTCAAGCCTATACCTATATATTATTTCTAAAAACCTAGTACTTTCATCTTTCCTTAGAGTTTGGCCAGTTTGGATTAAAATAGTTCGAATCATTTTTGTGAGCAGAATGTCAGAGAAGAGGAATTTTAGGGACTTGCTGTTTTTTGAGAAAGTTCCTCAACTATGTTGTGCTTTACTTAGTTTCTAATATAAATCTTATGCCAGAAAGTTGTGGAGAGGTCCCAGAAAATATTCTGAACCAGATTCCCCTTCTGTGTTGGCTGGGAACTAGGGACAATGAGAAGGGGTCAATTCCATCATCATTGTCAACTGATGAGTCTCCCTCTAGCACCTTCTTTGGCTGCCATCACAAAAAGGTCAGGGTGTACCTGACTCAGTGGCTAAATTATGATCTCTCACGGCCAGTCCCAGCCAAGGACAGCATTTCGTCAAAATTAACTTGGCAGAGGGAAATTCATGGCAAAGGACAAATTTGCACAGGTAAGTTTGATATGATATGTGTGCAACTGGAAATGAGTATCAGAGGACCAAGCCCAATACTTATTTTTTGCCATCTGCCCTTCTATAAAATGGATATTTGTGGTGTGCTGGAATAGGCTAAGATTATGGGTTTAAATTACTTTGGAGCCCCTAAAATGAAATTGATCATTTTTATATATGCCTTCACGGATTTATAGAGCTATAAATATTCTCCATGCAATTATTGTATACATAGTCAGATCATGTTACTGAGTTATGCGTGCACATAAGCAGATGTATTGCTATTTATATAGTAAATGAAATGGAGCAGCTTACAATAATTACATTAGACCATACTTCCAATACTCTGGTTAATAAAGCTTATAACTCTAGGGACAAATGTTTAAAAAGGGGCCTAGAGTAGACATCTCTTTCCATAGAAGATTCTTTTCCAACAGTTGTCTTCGGGCTCGTGTTGCTTTGAATCAATATATTGAATTATTGTTGTACTGAAATAATCACTCGTCCCAGCTGCTTGGGCTTTGCGGTAATAATACAGATGCCTTACATCCATCTAGCACTTCACACTTTTCTAAAACACTTTCGTACATTATCTTTCCTGGCAAAATTCCTTCCAATCACTTTTGGGCAGTTATTTTGTGGTTTAAGTTAGGAAGAGAGGGGTGGGGAGAGGAGGAGAGGACTTATATGGGTACATTATTCTAGACTGATGTTGCTATAGGCAGGGTGAATACAGGGAGCCATACACCGTTCAGGGAAATTTTCCCCCAAAGGCTTGAGTAGTGAAGTTAGAACCTTGGCTCCACTTTTTAAAGATGCCTCTATTTTTAGCACTTGAATTCCCTTCTTTCTCTTTAGCTGCGCTGGCCGAGTCTTCAGAGGGTTCTCATGGCTGTTGCTAGCCCAAGTGTGCAGTGATAGGAGTTAATGGGCAGAAAACACATCATGACCCCTCTTAAAATCGAGGGGGAACTCATGAGTAAATACCAAACTATCATTTCCAGAAAACCCCTGTGTTGTATACACAGAGTGAGACATATCCATTTTATAGCAGGGAAGTCTGAGACATAAAGGTCCCTCAGCTAATCAGTGGTTGGGCCAAGATGAGCCTACTGGTCTCTGGGCTCACGGCTCACCACTTGGTGATGACGCCTGTTCTCCTTGAGTCATTTAAGGGGAGCTGTGCATCCCTTCTGTTTGTCCCACAGCTTATCATAGGACTAAGCTTCCGGCTCAGTCACTGCCTGGGGACCAATCTGGGTCTCACTCAGCCAGCATTAGAGGCAGCTCCTGGATGTGGGCCATTAAGCAAAGTAGATTCAATTTTTTAAAAGTAAAAAGACATAAACATAATGGAATTCCCCTCCCCCTCCTTCCCTCCCCTTCCCTCCTCCCCCAACCCCTCCTGCCCCCTCCCCTCCCATCCCCTTCTCTTTTTCTTGAGACTGAGACTCGCCCAATTGCCCAGGCTGGGGTGCAGTGGCATGATCTTGGCTCACTGCAGCCTCTGCCTCCCATGTTCAAGCAATTCTTCTGCCTCAGCCTCCTGAGTAGCTGGGATTACAGGTGCCCGCTACCATGCCTGGCTAATTTTTATATTTTTAGTCGAGATGGGGTTTCACCATGTTGGCTAGGCTGGTCTCAAACTCCTGACCTCAGATGATCCGCCACCTCAGCCTCCCTAAGTGCTGGGATTACAGGTGTGAGCCACTGCGCCTGGCCTGGGTTTCTTTCTTATAACAAAAGCTTGATTATTACCCATTATAAAAAATACAGGCTGGGCACAGTGGCTCACACTCGTAATCCCAGTACTTTAGGAGGCTGAGGTGGGCAGATCACCTGAGGTCAGGAGTTTGAGATCAGCCTGGCCAACATGGTGAAATCCCGTCTCTACTAAAAATACAAAAATTAGCCGGGCGTGATGGTGCATGCCTGTAAGCCCAGCTATTTGGGAGGCTGAGGCAGGAGAATTGCTTGAACCTGGGAGGCAGAGGTTGCAGTAACTGAGATCGCACTATTGCACTGCAGCCTGGGTGACAGAGTGAGACTTTGTCTCAAAAAAAAAAAAAAAAAAAAGAAAATACAGACAACTCCTTAAAAACACCCACTATCATCCCCGCCCACCTCTGCCCACTTGTCACCTTAGTATATACCCTTTAAACTTGTCTTCTCTGTCTGTCTGTATGTATACACATGGACATATATTGCTCCGCTCCCATGGTTTGGCAAATGCAGGGTCAGCAGCTCAGTACATGTCATTTCCATCTCTTTGAAATTTAGTTTCTTCATTTGAAAAATGGATTAATACTACTACTCTTTCGTGGGTATAAAATATTAGAGACGAAAGCATCAAACTCATAACAGGGCTTTAATAGTGTTGAGTGCATGAATAATTCATGCCACTACCCTAACACATGTGTCACTTCTCTTTCCAGTTTATCCTTTGCTTCAGCTTTTACCAGTGGGAGCCCATGACCTACGGCTCTTACCGCTATCCTAACTGGTCCATGGTGCTTGGATGGCTAATGCTCGCCTGTTCCGTCATCTGGATCCCGATTATGTTTGTGATAAAAATGCATCTGGCCCCTGGAAGATTTATCGAGGTAATTCTGTCTACTTCTTTCCCTCCCAATTCCTCCCAAGGGAAAGCCCCTGAAAGCTCTGCACGTTAAAAAACAAAAGATTCGGTAAACTTATTCAAGAGGGAGACTTGGTGATGAAGCAATTACGATTGCTACCGTTTCTATTAAACCCATTTTTATTATGTATGATTCCTCTAATGGAGGGGCTCAGCCAATCTGCAAGCAGAACTGTTATTATGCTAGTCCTCAGTGTGGTGACAGCTCTGGGGAATAAATGATCGAGGGTCTCCTCTTTCCTGGAGTTTCCTCCTCCTCTCCCCTCATCCACAGTTTAAATCTCAGTGTTTTGTTTTTAACCACACATCAGATTCCCCCTTCCCTGATGCTCCTCTCTGTCTATGGCTTCTTCTTCCCAAACATCTATTACCATTAAACTTAAAATCACTACCCCTCCTGTTGTGCCTCTGTTAGGGATGGTTGAGGGTCTCAGCTGATTAAAATGCCACTGTTCCCACAGAATGTAGTGAGAATTTCAGGACATGGCTGGTATGAGGTGAGACTTCAATTGATCCCTTGCTGGACCCATTTCCCATCTCTAATGCGAAGAATCCCACTGTCACTCCAGAGTGAATGGGACGGGGACTGCCTCTGGTGCCACCAGTGAAGTGTGGTCAGGCTTTTGTTATTTATGAGGAGTCACTTGCTCAGGTGTGCTAGGAATCACCCAACCCTGCCTCGGTCTTGAGGATCCAGGAATCTGGCATTTTGGACTAGATCAGGGCTACTTAGGGTTTGCTCCAGCAACCAGCAGCATCCTTCTCACCTGAGAACTTGTTGGAAATGCACATGATCAGAATCCAGGCAGAAGATGCCTACTGAACCAGAGTCTTGGGGAAATGGGACCCTGGCATCTACAGTTTAACAAGCCCCCCTGTTAGCGAAGCATTGGACTAGACTCAGGTGAGAGAAGGCAGAGAATAACAGTTTGGGCTTTGCTGTTGGTCTGCTGGGCTGAAAAAGGAATGAAGAAGGAACAGGCCTCTGGGGTATCCCATTGAGGCTCTGGAGGGGAGACAGAGGATGGGAATTAGGCATGTGGTACGTGCACAACACAAAAGTCCACTGGATTGGGGGGTAGCTTTTGTCTTCATTGGACTAACGGTGGAGACAGAATTAGCAAAAGGATGTATAGGAATCTTTTTACTGCAGCCGTATTCCAGTTTCCAACCTCAGGAAATTCTGTTATTCCCTTGAGGTAAATGAGGTAAGTGACTGGCCCCATGGGCCTCCAGAGATGGTTCACTCCTGCCCCACATAAGCCTCCCCACCAACTGACCCAGAAATCTCTTTCCCTCTGAATGGAACCTGGTTTAGCCTCTGCTACTTTTGTCTTAGGCTAAAATCCTCTAAACTGATTGAGTTGACTATATAAATTTATTATGGTGGATTTGGGACACAAAGGTTGCAAACTGATGATTAAGGAGAGATTAAACCAACAGCTCTAAGTACCAGCTTCACTTTAAAAGGTAATAAACATATAATTGTTCCCTCTTATGTAGTCAGAAATATGTTTTCTTTCCTTTTTCTAGAAAATCTTCCAGTCAAGTTATGTTTTCCATAAAAATTTCAGCTGAAGGATTAGAGACATTCCTATTATTTTTAGCTTGCCTGCAAGAACCCACACTGCTGAACCAAGTCAGAAGCGTGTATTTTGTCAACAGATAATTAAAATCTTTGCTCACTCTTGGCGATGTATCTTTGGGGTTGGATTTTTTTTTTCCTCTGGTCATTTATATCCTTCTGGGAAATATGCTAAACAAAATCCAATTATTTAAATGTAGCAACCCACTGTTGAGACTACAGAACGAAAGTAATCAAGCACATGTCTTTTGCAGACTGTGTTTGGCAGTGAAGAGAGAAGCTTGAGGATTCCCTTCATTTGGAGGGAAAAATGTATAATTAAAATCTGGGCCCTTTATCCTCTATTAATCTTGTGCAAGGCAAACACAGAGCAATTGCAATACTGCTTGCAGGGTGATGTAAATAATTTCAAGCGAACCAAACTAAGTATCCTCTTTAATGTCTCTGGCCTAGTTAATTAATGAAGGCTGATCTTCCTAACTGCCTCTCTTGGTAGAGGGCCTCCTTGGCTCAAGCAAGGACTCTGGCCAAAGTGGTCATAAGCAGTTTGGGAATGGGTGGGTCATCTCCAGATGAGGAAGGTGCATTACCTCTGTGACCCTGTCTGTCTTTGACTTCTTTGCAGAGGCTGAAGTTGGTGTGCTCGCCACAGCCGGACTGGGGCCCATTCTTAGCTCAACACCGTGGGGAGCGTTACAAGAACATGATCGACCCCTTGGGAACCTCTTCCCTGGGACTCAAACTGCCAGTGAAGGATCTGGAACTGGGCACTCAGTGCTAATCCAGTGGTGTGGGATGGTCCAGACTTGGTCCTTTTTTTCCTCTCTGCCTCCTCCTAATGTTTTCCATAGCTCTCCTCCCATCTTTCTTCATCTTTCTTCCTACATCTTGGCTCATATCCATGCCTGAGTGTGATTATGTAGAAAAGCAGGCATAATGTCGCATGCTGTAGTAAAGAGCTACACAGACCACCTGGAGTGCTGTTTGCCTGTGCCCATGGTGACTGTTTCTGGTCAGGTTTGTCCCCTGACCACACGTTTTACCCTACAGGGGAGGATCAGTTAGATGAGCGCTGGTATGTATGCGTGGTTTGGTCAATAGACGTATCCACCGTGTGATGTCATGGGGGTGCCAGCAAGGCATATATAGAATGACTGAATTATAAGACTTAATTTGGACTTGAACAGAACTGAGCAATGTAGTGATCTTGTTCAGACACACAAAGTTCAAGACAGGTTTTTTTTTTTTTTTTTCCAGAGAGTCAGCAGTGGTCAGAAAATGTTTTGGATGTAAGACAAGACCATTCAATTTGGACACCACTGCGGTGGTTAAGTTTGTATTTCCAGTCACCACTGGGGATCTGTTTCCTTCCTGTGGATCACCCATCTCCAGTTACCACTAACTCAGACGCTACAGTCTGCACATTGTGACTTAGATTGAACTGTCAGTTTTCTTCCCTCAACTGTCTGGTTTTGTTTTAAATAACCACATTTGTGAGTTCTTTTGGCCATTTCCTCCACCTCTGCCCAAGAAGCCATCATATAAGTTGTGCCTCATTTTGTACATTCATAGTAGAGCTCCATGCTGGTTTCTACATGATATTTACCACCATGGTTCAATGTCACGATCCCGTGTTTCTTCTCTAAATGTCTCTCTGTAAGCTGTAGATACCTTGTCTTTTGACCTCTGGGAAAACAAGACTTACCCTGGTTCTGTCTATATATTATATATATAGGACACAAGCTCTTAAAAGACAGATAACTTCTTAATTTTTACTCTTAACTTTTACATTCACAGTAAAAGGCAATTGTGGTCATAGAGAAATCAAAGAAATGGAGAGTTTAATAGAAAGCAACCACAATATTCACTGCACTGGTAGTATATTTTAGGACATGGTATTTATAGAACTTTCTGATAAATACAGCTTAGGCAAGTAGCGAGTGAGCCAATTAAGACTATAGCTTTTAAGACTACATTTAGCCGATTCAATTTTAAGAGTTCCCTATTCACAGTATTCATTTTAACTGCACTCTAATGAGAGGGGATCATATGTCTGCAGAAATTGGTCAAGTGTAAACTTTATTATCTTCTTGTATCCTGAACATGCATATATGAAATTTTTAAAACGTGACATGTGTTCATGTAGTGTGTACTTGTAGTGGTGTTTTCTGTCCTTATAAATATCCTATGAATTCTGTAGAGATGGTGAGTTTAGTGTAGTGTAGTCTGGGGATTTTATTTTCCCTTACAGTAATAATATCTAAACCTAAAATTGTTTCCTTTAGGGGAGATCATTTCAATCATTTTCTTCATTTATCTTCATAGTACAGGGTCTCAGGCAAAGTTTTCAGTTCAAATCTTATATATTGTGACATTTTCATCCTGTTTAACAGAAATGAAACCCAACAACAGACTTTAATGTACATTTTTTTTAAAAAAGATTTCATTTGTTAAAAAAAAGTCTCAACTCATTTTACTGAGCTCTTCCTTTTCTAAGGCAAGTATCATTGCCATTTGCCAACATCAATATGAACTTTCAGTTTTTAAGAGGAGCTTGTGAAATGTTTTAGCAAAGGAAACAAAGATGGGTTTTGAACTTTAGATTTTCATGTCTTTTGTCTGCAGTGTATATTTGTTCTCCCCTCTCCTTCTCCTCCTTTCCCCTCTTGTCTCCCAAAGCTCAAACTTGCTTGAGTCTATCACAGAGACTACACCCTGAGCTTCCCCTAAACTTAGCTTTAGGAAGCTGAGCTGTCGCCTCACCTGTCTGCCATGAACACAGGTTTCTCTAAGAAAGCCATATTGATGAGAAGCCCCCAGTTACTGTAGCAGATGTCGCACAATGGTACCAAAAATGAGCCTCTCCAATTGATACCTGGTAGAGTGAGAGGAGCCGGGAGGAATAACTTAGGCCTGGAAATTATCTGCAGACTTTCCAATTTGAAGGTTAAGAAAAAGAGCTTAAATCAATTAGCATTCTCTCATGGGACTGGTATGTTTGTGTCAGGATGAATGGTTTTTGGCTGTCCTCTTGCCTCTTGGCTAAAACTCGAGTCTGATGCTGGACGCCAACCCAATTTCTGCTAATTGCTGCTTTTGTGATTAAAAGGTGTGTGTGTGTGGGTGGGGGGGTTCCCACAGATGCTGCCAGGTTTGTTTTGTACAAACTGAAAGTTAACTTAATTGTGAGAACGGAGACCTCATCACTAGCTGCATGTTTTGGATTTGGGGGCATTTACATTTGTGTTAATTATGATTTGTCCAGGTAAGACACAGTAGCTGCTCCCGGAGCAGCTGTTTCCTCCTGATCCCACTTCACTATAGTTTCCAAGATTTATTTCCCTTTGTTTAAAGGGACAAGCTTAGCTGAAAGGTTCCAAATTTACCTGGAAATGGTTACGTTGTAAATTTAGCTTGTCTAATGGACTGTTTCCATGATATTAAAATGTACAGTCAATTGGAAGAAAAAAATGAATGGATAAAAATAAAATGAATAACATTGTTAGAAACTGCCACCTGAAAACTTCCCTTCAAACTAGGGAAAAAACCAAGTAGCTGAAGAAAGACTTTTATTAGTTCACAATATAGAATAGTGGAGCATTTTCCACTTGTGAGATTATTTCATAACACCAACAAAGGCCAGAAACTCATTCAGAGAAAAAAAGCCATATGTGAAAAACATTAACCCTGTCATATCCTCAGAGGAGAAAAAATGTGTATTTCTTAACAATTGGTGTTGTGACTTCTTATGCAAATGTCTTGCATATTAGTAACTTATTATCTTTAGGACTATGTTTATCAGGTACAAATATGTCCAGTTCTGTTTTATTGTTTTTCCTTTATATTTATGTATTGCATGAGGTCTGTGGTCAATGCAAAATCATGATGACCTCAATGTCTTTGAAATTTCCAATGCATTTTTAATATGTAAGAAATGTAATCAAGTTGTATTTCAGTAAGCAGCACTTTAAAAAGAGTTTAACACGATGACTTTTAAATGGATAGGACTTGGGTTGTTTTTATGGTAATGTTGCATTGGAATTGAGTTTTCCTTTAATTAAGTTCTTGTTTCCTTATCTACGTGTCTCTCAGTGCTTCCTGTCCACCTTTGCTGTCAGCATGGTTTTCCCATGCCTAAAAGTAAGATTTTCTTTTCTCTTTGTTCCCTTGGCCGTAGGTCATTGTCCTCTTCCCAGAGGCTAGCACAATAACTGTTGCTCAACATAAGGTGAGATGGCAAGATCATACTACTGTTGTTGCACCTGGATTTGAGTTGGGACATGCTTCTTTGAGGCAGGTGACTCGAGAGAGGACGTGCTGTGTGGCAGGGTGTTTTGCAGGACCAAAAGGTCAAGGCTAACAGAGGAGCATTTCCTTCTCTTTCACAATGGGTATCATGTAGAAAACTTCCAGGTTGGGAGCAAATGTGTGGGTGATTCAGCCTTGATACTCATTTCCCCACTAAGTGGCCCTAGGATTTGTGAAAGTGAAGCTTCCTATCTTTCCCAGATTTTGCTTTAATTGTCCAGAAAGGCCAAGTAGTTTCGAAATGTGGTCTTTGCTCAGGTCACCTCTGAGCAGCCTGCAGCCAAAGAGAAAGTGTTCTCAGATTGGGTATTCATCATCTCTGAAAAGCAAGCAGTGGTTTGACTTGCCTGCCATGGATTAAATACATCTTCAGGTAACCATTTGCCTTATAGGTGTATTTTACTGTTAGGATGATTCTTAGTAATTGACTAAAAACTGTTTTGTCTCTCATTTGTTCGTGTTTTTTTGCACTTTATTATGGACCTGTAAAGGAATAGGTTAATTCTTACATTGTGTACTTGGTTAATGTCCTAAACGCAGGCACCTTTTGTGGGTACTGTTGCCCACGAATAAATATATGTTCCCTAATCAGGTCCTTATATTTTTTCATTAACTATACATGAAGAAGATATATTATGTTACAAATGATGCATCATATATATATATATCTTATAGAGTACATATTATATACTGCACATTATTCATTTAAGAAGTCATTATTCTTGAGGCCCTACCTCAAATTTTGTATTTATGTATAAAAATGCAATTTATTGTATTATATATTTGCCTATTATATAATAATATAAATTAGAATTTATCCTAATAATGTATGAGTTCACAAAACCCTAAATAAATGTCAGTGTTTAAAACATAATGATTATAGTATTGTGTCTCTTACAAAGCCATTACCCATCATCTTTCTTTCTTAATAAATAGCCTTTAGGTATCCCCAAGATTGATCTATTTTGTTGTGCAAAACCTGGGACGGTCATGGAAAACTGCCCTCCTGGGAAAACGAGATACTGTGCTGCTGCAGAAACAAATATCAATTCAGTTATTATGTTTTTAACCATCAGAAGACACTATTGTTTGCTGAATTATTAATCACCCTCATGGGGGGAGAGAGATTGGAGTAGGAGAAAGAGAAGGAAGAAAAAGAGAGAAAGAGAATCTGAGTAGATCTGAGATCTGAACAGAGAGACTGGACAAGTTAAAACACTATGTATGTTTTCATGATCATTTTGTCAGTCTTCAACTATATTTCAATTTAGCAAACATTTTATGTAATTCCTGCATTGTGCTAGGCCCCAGGCAAAATGGAATAAAAAGGTCTCAAATCTTAAGGAACTCAAATTATAGTAGAAGAAAAACCTATTTCTAAAAAACAAATAAATGCCATTTCTCTCCTTTTGAGTGGGTGGAGGCCTCATGTTCCTTACTCAGAGATGTGGCCCCAGGGTTCGGTGTCATATTCTCTGCTGTCTGATCAGCTTAACCCAGAGGCTCTGTTCTCCTCAAATGAGCACAGCATACTCATGCTCTGCCTCCATCTTCAGCTTCAGTGCTGGAAGGCTACAGAGATGATCTAGGCTGTCCTCACTAGGAAAGAAATGCCCTTAAAAGCTGATGCTGAAATCCACATGCCAAGTGCACAGGTGTCCAGCCTGCAGTCAAGCTCTAAACTGGGAAGACTCTATGATAATAAGAGCTCCATATAATACATTCAGGGACTGGCCTTAAAACTGTACTTTGGCAGGTGCACAGTGCTGTTAACACTAAACTCAGTGTAATGTCTTATCTTCCCAGCAACGGTGCTCCTGAAAGGGCAAGAAGTGCACTCTGTGGGATCAGAGCTTGGTGCTGACTCATCACCTTCTATGTCCTTCCTGAGATTCCTTTGATCATTGTGTGTGTGTGTTTGTTTTTAACATTTTATCTTGAAATTTCAGGTATACATAAAATTGGAGAGAACAGAATAATGAACTCCTATGTCCACATCACACACTCTCAGCAATTACCAACTCATGTCCAAGTTTATTTCATGATCCGTCTCCCCACCCTGAAACCCTGTTTCCCTAGAGTATTTCAAAGCAGATCCCAGGTACCATGGAATTTCAGTGAGAAATGCTCTGTTTTTATAACCCTTCTAAATATGTTTTTCCTTAATTGGGGATAAAGAGAAATAGGGGAAACTTAGAGTTAATTTTTTATTTTTAGAAGAAGAGTCACCAGTCGGGTACTCCAGTCTCACTGGTGACTCTTCTTCTCCCAGGATTTGTCATGTGACTTGCTGGATCATGGCGAAGTCTGGGAGTCCAGGGGAGATGCTGGGGTGTGTAGGGTCTTGGACGTGGGCTCAGGAGTCTCAGGATAGCCCAGGTATTTTTATTCCATAACTTGATTCCTCTTGCCTCCTCCTTTCAATCACGAAACAAAGGCAGAGGCATTCTGCAATTATGTGGTATATTCACTTGCATGATTTGCCTCCAGGCTTCCAGCCATCTGCATCATGTGGCACTCACTGCCGGTGTTCAGGAAAGATGCACAGAGAGAGGTTTGGGTCTTACCTGCTAAGGTTGCATGAATTTAATCTTTTGGGCTTAGGGCTTTGAGATAAAACACATTTTTAAAAAATCACTCTGTCTCACCTACTCAAAAGTGGAGAGCACTGGTAGGTGCAGGCCCATGACAATCTCACTGTGAACCTCTTTTTTTTCCTTTTGGCTTTCTTGTGAGTGCTTATTTCTATACAGGCCTTCTTGTGAGTGCTTATTTCTATACATAGTCTTGAGGTGAAGGCAAGAATGACAGAAAACTTGCACTAGGCTAGTATTGATATTTTATAAAGTTGGTACAATGTGAGGGAGTGTGGGGGAGAGACTGGTAACTGCCTTTGAATTTCTGTTCTTCCCTTTTTTAGTAACATCTCTGACTTTAGCCAGGCTTGTTGCCACCCAGCCAAAGCATGAAGTTTCCTGATTCCCTTGCAGCAAAGTACAGTAGATTGACCTGGCTTCACTTCTTTATGCCCCGCACCCTGCGAACCACACCCTTGCTAAGTCCTTATCGTGGGTGGATTGTACTTCTTGCCCTTGACTTGGGGCTTGGTAATGCATCTGTGCTTTGGCTAATAGCGTGTGAACAGATGTGGCGGTGTGCCAGTTTTGAGTCTAGACCTTAAGAGGCCTCACCTATTTCTATCTGCTCTTTGGTGTCTCTTTGGGCCATGAGGAACAGATCTGGCTAGCCCATCAACCCAAGGAAGATGAAAGGCACATAGGACAGTCACTCAACTAAAACACAGACCTGCAGTGAGAAATGGAATCAGCCCAGCCACTGTAACCTGAAGCAGAACTGCCTGAGACCAGCACAGATGAACTGAACCCTAGCCAACCTGCAGATATCTGTTCAGTGTTGTATGACATGGAAATTCTGTGGTTGTTATATAGCAGTATCTAACAGATACATATGGAGTGGCCCTGTGACTAGGTTCTGCCCAAATATATATGGAAAAAAATACATGGGACTCCTAGGCATGCTCTTCTTTTCATTTTTTTCCATATTTTGCTGTCTGGAATGTGGCTGTAATGGATGGAGTACCAGCAGCTATAATGAACCATGAGGACAAGAACTACATTCTAGGAATGGTGGACTCTCCAACTCTAGAATTCTTTTACTGAAGACAGTATTAAAGACTTACGTTACTATCATTTGGGAGGTTTCCTGTTATATGAAGCCAGATAGAATCTTTACTGATATAGGAAATAAAATAAACACTCTTGGCCTTTTATCCCACTCCCTATTCTCCCATCCCTTGTGGAGGAAGGTGTCAGCCATTGGTCCTCATTTCTCAACGGGGTCTCCTTAGCTTTCTCTTTTCATCCAGATCAGTGGGAGCAGATGGCTGTGGCAAGGTCCAGCCTGGAGGAAAGGCAGATGGCCAGTCTATTTTGGCTTTCACATAGGCTATGCTCTTCCAGCATTGTCTCTACATTAATAAAAGTGATGTTTTAGCCTCCTGCTAACTGTTATCTTATGTCTCAATTGGTTCAGAACTCAGGTAGGGAATTGGACTGTTATGAAACTGACTTCACAGGTTTACACTCAGGAGAAACAGTAAAATTCATATGGCCTGGGTTTGAGTCTCACTCAGCCACTTACTTGGTCAATGGCTCACTTTCCACATTTGTAAGATAGGTATAATAATACTACCTACCTAATTGGGTTGTTTTGAAGAATAAATTGAGTTAATCCTTGGATAGTACTTAGAGCAGTAACCACTCATAGTTACACTTAAGAAATGTAGCCAATACCATTCTGGCCAGGGCTGGGGTGAGGCCTGTTTCTAGGGCCTCTATGAAGATAGTGTGCCAAATTTTTAACGGTCTATTGGAATGGACATGTGATTGCTTAACATTTAATAAAGCCTAGATATGTGCACACCTTGGTTTCTGTCATCAGAAACTTGAAACTCATCCAAGATTATTGATGTTATGGATTAGAATGGTTTCATCCAAAGAATTATGAGGTGCCTTTATCTATATGTCTATATATTTTTCTATTTTCCTACAGATCTATACCCAGCTTTGTTCTAAATATGTTTGATGCTATGAGACAAAAGGACACTAGTTAATTTAGCAAAATATGGATCCCTCTAATTTGGATGTCATTGAAGTGGATTGTGGTAATGAGAGAATGAAGTTTTCATATAGAGTTTATATATCCATATGGAAACAGAGGTTCACACATAAATACATTCATTCAGCCTCTTTTTATAAGTGCACGTGCATTTCAGGAAATGAAAACATCCGCACAAGTCAGGCTTGCACAGTTGCAGAGAGTACTGGGGCTGTTAGGTTTGTGAAGGAAACTTGGGTGCTTGTGCACTTTCCTCGACTCTGGCAGCAGATTGGCACTTGTGTTAATTTCCTACTGCTGCCATAACAAAGCACTACAAACTGAAAGATGTAAGACAGCAGAAATTTAATCTCACAGTTCTGGAGATTAGGAATCTGAAATCAAGGGTTGGCAGGACAAGTCTTTAGGGGATAATCTTTCCTTGCCTCTTCCAGCCTCTGGAAGACACCCCTTGGCTTGTAGCTTGTCTTCATTTTCTGCTGCTCTTTTTTTTTTTTGAGATGGAGTCTCATTCTGTTGCCCGGGCTAGAGTGCAGTGGCACGATCTCGGCTCACTGCAACCTCCACCTCCTGGGTTCAAGCAATTCTCCTACCTTAGTCTCCCCAGTAGCTGGGACTACAGGTGCATGTTGCCATGCCCGGCTAACTTTTTGTATTTTAGTAGAGATGGGGTTTCCCTGTGTTGCCCAGGCTGGTCGCGAACTCCTGAGCTCAGGCAATCCGCCCGCCTCAGCCTCCCAAAGTGCTGGGATTACAGGCATGAGCCACAGCGCCCGGCCTTCTGTTGCTTATAACAGAATACTTGAAACTGTAATTTCTAAAGAAAAAAAAAATCTCTTTCTTACAGTGATGGAGATTGAAAGGTCCCAGGTCGAGGGTCTGCATCTGGTGAAAACCTTCTTGCTAGTGGGGACTCTGTAGAATAGATTGGCACAGGGTGTCATGGTGAGGGGGGCTGAGCATGCTAACATGTTCACTCAGGTCTTTCTTCCCCTCCCATGATAATCCATTGATCCATTAACCCATTAATTTCTGCCCTCATGAGCTGATCACCTCTTAGAGGCTTTCAATACTGCCACATGGGGGTTAAACT